CCTTCCCGTTCTCCGTTTTAACTTTCTTTTTTTTCTAATTTTCCTTTCTTGTCTTTCTTCTTCTTCTCTTTTCTTCTTCCCTTTTCATCTTGCTTTTTACTAGATCTTCATCTCCTTCTTCCTTCTTCTTTTCTTCTCCTTATAATATCTTTCTTTTTTCTCGATTTTCTTCTTCTTTTTCTTCCTCCTCCTCTTCTTCCTTCTTAGTCTTTTTCTTTCTTCTCCATATCATCTTATTTCTTCTTCTTACTCCTTTTCATCTTTGTTTCTTATTTTCATGCTCCTTCTCATTTATTTTTTTCTGGTTCTCATTTCCTTTTTTCCTCCTTTTCTTTTTTTCTAATTATTATTTGCCTTGTCATCTTTCTTCTTTTTTTCCTTCCCCTTTTCCTTCTTTTTCTCCTTTTCCTTTCCCTTTTTCTCTGTAAGTTCTTTTCCTTCTCCTTTTTTCCTTCTCCTCTCCCCCCTCGTCTTTCTCCTCATCCCCCTCCTCTTTCTCTTCCTCATCCTTATCCTCCTTCTTCTCCTTCTCTCTCTCATCATTGTACTCCTCAGCCTTCACCTTCTCTCTCCTCCTTTTCCTCCTCCTCCTCCTCTTTCACCTTTCTCTCTCATCTCTCCTCCATCACCTTCTCTTCATCCATCTCTCCTCCTCCTTCCCCACCTCTTTCCACCTTCTCTCTCCTCCTCCACCTCTTTCCTTCTCTCTCCTCCTCCACCTCTCTTTCTCCTCTCTCTTCTCCTCCTCCTTCTCTCTCTTCTTCTCCTCCTCCCCCTCCTCTTTCACCTTCTCTCTCCTCCATTCCTCCTCCTTCTCTTTTCTCCTCCCCTTCTCTTTCACATTCTCTCTCCTCTTTCACCTTCTCTCTCTCCTCCTCCTCCTCTCCTCTCTCTTCTTCTCCTCCTCCTCTTTCCTTCTCTCTCTTCATTCTCCTCCTCCTCCTTCTCTCTCTTATCCTCCTCCTCCTCCTAGTACCCATTGGCATGACTGTCAATAAACCACGTATGACATAAAAGTGCTGTGTGTCGGCGTTCATTTAATTTTGTGCCACTTATCTCCTACTTCGGATTTTAGGCACATGTGCTCGTAAGTACCTGTGCCTCTCCAGTTGCCACGGGCGTAAGTAGGCCTATGGTATGTGAATTCAGTGATCATAACGTTTTCTGTTGTTTGTATGATGCTGTATAACGTTTTCTGTTGTTTGTGCGATGCTGTATAACGTTTTTCTGTTGTGTTGTATGATACTGTATAACGTTTTCTGTTGTTTGTATGATGCTGTATAACGTTTTCTGTTGTTTGTATGATACTGTAACGTTCTGTTGTTTGTACGATACTGTATAACGTTTTCTGTGTTTCCATGACATATATAACGGTTTCTTCTATTCATATGATACTGCATAACGTTTTCTACTACTTATATATGATACTATGTAACGTTTTGTACTGATTATATGATACTGTAAAACGTTTTCTGCTTGTACGTTCTTTGTTGTTTATATGATACTATATACGTTTCTTCTATTCCTATGATACTGTATAACGTTTTCTGCTACTTATATGACACTAAGTAACGTATTCTACTGTTTATATGATACTGTAAAACGTTTTCTGTTGTTTGTATGTTACTGTAGAACGTTCTTTGTTGTTTATATTATACTATATAACGTTTTCTGCTATTCATATGTTACTGTATAGCGTTTTCTGTTGCTTATTTACTGTAAAACGTTTTTTGCTGTTTATATGATACTGTATAACGTTTTCTGCTACTTACAGGATATTGTTCTATAACACTTTCTGCATGTTTTCCGCATGATATTTTTTGTAGTGAATCTATGAGGTTACGTTTTAGTATACTGAGAGTATGACGACTTTCCTGTGTCACTATATTTATCATTGACTGTATTTCTCTCAGACTTTTTACTATATTACGAATAGCAAAAGTACCGAGTTTGTAATATATTAAAACTATAGACACAATACTTGAAGTGTTGATTTAATTCAAGCAATGGAAAACCTAAAATTGGAAAATGTCCGAATCCACCAAAATGTCCGCCATACGGTATGTTCCGACCTGTCAAAACTAGCACATTTTTTCTTCGTTCGCAACTCACACGACATTGTAATTTTAGGTTAAACACTAGCACTTTTTCCGTCATTTTTTTTTTTTTTTTTTACAATTTTCTGAAATTTTGTCACGTTTTTAGCAAATTGTCGATTCTCCAGTCAGACGATAATGGCAGTTTCCGTCTGAAAACCTTTCCGTCAACCTTTTTTAAGCCAAGCATAGTCAAATCAAGTTTTTAGCGAATTGTCGATTTCTCCAGTCAGACGATAATGACAGTTTCCGTCTGAAAACCTTTCCGTCAACCTTTTCAGCCAAGCAAAGTCAAATCAAGAGCTAAATTCGAAAATGTTTGTATTTATGTTGAATAATTGACGGAAAAAGTGCTAGTGTGACACGGCCTTTACTCTCCCACGTACGTATTGCATGGCGGTTGAACAAACGAAAATGACTAAATCCACCAAAATGTCCGCCATACGGTATTTCGACCCTGTTAAGGTACTGTCAAACTAGCACTTTTTCCGTCTTTTTTTTACAATTTTCTGAAATTTTGTCATTTTTTGAGCGAATTGTCGATTCTCCAGTCAGACGATAATGACAGTTTCCGTCTGAAAACCTTTCCGTCAACCTTTTCAGCCAAGCAAAGTCAAATCAAGAGCTAAATTCGAAAAATGTTGTAATTTATATAAATAATGACGGAAAAAGTGCTAGTGTGACACGGCTTTTACTCTCCCAGTACGTATTGCATGGCGGTTGAACTAAACGAAAATGACACAATTTCCAACAAATGTGTCCGCCATAAAGCATGTCCGACCTCTGTTGAGGTACTGTCACACTAGCACTTTTTCCGTCAATACTTTTTTTCATCACAATTTTCTGAAATTTTGTCACGTTTTTAGCGAATTGTCGATCTCGCAGTCCAGACGATAATGCCAGTTTCCGCCTGAAAACCCTTCCGTCAACCTTTTCAGCCAAGCAAAGTCAAATCAAAGAGCTAAAATTCGAAAATGTTGTATTTATGTTAAATTAACTGACGGTGTGACACGGCCTTTACTCTCCCACGTACGTATTGCATGGCGGTTGAACTAAACTTGCATGATTTCGTCACAATTCAGAATGAGTGAATGAGGGTGCGACGATAAACGGACGGTGAATTCGTGGTGATGAGTATGAGTCATTTTAGTGAGTCAAAAGAGCTGGAGAGTGGGAGGTGAGTGGGAATCGGCTACGTCTATAATGTATCATACCTTATAAGTATGTACTTATAATATATATCCTATGTACTTGTATTATATATGTGATGTACTTATACTTTATATACTATGTACTTTATATATCATAAATTTATACTAATACATTGCTCGTTCATTATATACTACTAGTTACTCATATGATAGCGATGTAGCTAATACTATGTATATATGCACTTACTATAATAAATGTTCTAAACTGACTTTCACT